GGGGGGGGAGGGGAGGGGGTGTGTATGTCAGGGGAGTGTGACGGCATGCTTTATTCTTGGTCTCTCTTCTTTCAGCAGATGTAACGCTCAGCGCCCTGAACGACTCCGACGCCAACAGCGACCTAGTAGATATAGAAGGTTTGGGCGAGAGGAGCACCGTGAAAAAACTCAACTTCGATCAGGGTGTGAAATCTCATTTGTGTAATTTTAGTTTTACTCTCCTACACTCTGTCACATCGGCCCCTCTGCTTCCCCTTTGTCCTTCACTCTGTCTGTTGTCTTTGTCTTGGTTACATTTTGTTTTTTTGTTGTTAGCTCGGTGTTCCCGTCTCTCCTAAAGTTCTATTTACTACAGTGATACCCCGTTCTCCTTATCTCCTCCCCCGATCAGATGTTATTACCTTCTGTTTCTTTCCATTGTCTTCCTTGTGTTCTCTTTTGAACCTTCTCTGTTTCTCTGTTCTTATTTTTGTTTTCACCATCTTGTCCCTGTTCACCTTCTGCATTTCCCATTTGTCCTCCTCCTCTCTTCCATCCTTCATTCATTATCCTTCTGTCCTTTACCTTTCCTCTGCCTATCCTTCTTCTCCTTCATCTACCAGCATTCTTCAGTCCCTTACCTTCCCCTGTTCTCCTCCTCTGCCCCTTTCCCCGTTCTCTGTTCTCCTTCACATTTCCCCGATCTTTACTGCTTTACCTTTCCATGTTTTCTTTCCCCACCCCTTTACCTCTGTTCTCCTCCTTCCTGGACCTTTCCCTGTTCTCTTCCCCTTTCTCCACCCCTTCAACTATTCTTTTTCACATTCTCTGCACATCCTGTTCTACTCATTCTCTGCACTTTTTTTTGTTCTCCTTCCTTTCAACTTTTCCTGTTCTCATCCTTCTTTGCACCTCTCAACTTTTCCTGTTCTCCTCCCCCTTCTCTACACATTTTCATGTTCTCATTCCCTGCATCTTTTCTCACCCTTTCGCTATTCTGCTCCTTCTTCTCTGCACCTTTCCCTGTTATTCTCATTCCCTGTGAATTTTGTTATTTTCCTCTGCACCCGTTCCTGGTCTTCACCCTTCCCTGTTCTCTTCCTCCTTTTCTACACTTTTTCTTGTTCTCCAGCTCTCCTTACTTTTTACGTGTAATTCTTCAATCCTTTACCTTTCCCTGTTTTCCTTCTCTGCACCTTTCCCTGTTCCATACCACTCTTTCTTCTTTCCATGTTCTTCTTCTATCCTTCACCTTTCCGTGTTCTCCTTCTCCGCACCTTTCTTTGTTCTCCACCTTCCCCGCACCTTTCCCTGTTCTCCACCTTCCCCGCACCTTTCCCCGTTCTCCTCCTCTGCACCTTTTCCCGGTTCTCCTCCTTCTCTGCACCTTTCCCCGTTCTCCTCCTTCTCTGCACCTTTCCCCGTTCTCCTCCTTCCCTGCACCTTTCTTCCCTGCACCTTTCCCCGTTCTCCTCACCTTTTCCCCGTTCTCCTCCTTTTCTGCACCTTTCCCCGTTCTCCTCCTTTTCTGCACCTTTCCCCGTTCTCCTCCTTCTCCACACCTTTCCCTAGTCTCTTTCTTCTCCGCACCTTTCCCCGTTCTCCTCCTTCTCCACACCTTTCCCTAGTCTCTTTCTTCTCCGCACCTTTCCCCGTTCTCCTCCTTTTCTGTACCTTTCCCCGTTCTCCTCCTTCTCTCCGCCTTTCATTGTTCTTCACCTTTGCCTGTTCGCCTTCTTTTCTGCACCTTTCCCTGCTCTCCACCACTCCTTCACCTTCCTGTAGACTTCCTCCCCTTCTCCATGGTTTGCCCTGTTCTCCTCTTCTTGTACGTAATGTCTTCACCCCACCACTATTTCCTGATCTCCATTATCCCTCTTCCTTCCCCTTTCTTCTTGATGTTTCCCTATTCACCTTCTTCTTGGTTTACCTTTTATTACCTCCTATCTGCTCTACACCTCGCCATCCACCATTTTCAGTTTCAATTTTTTTTTACCTGCTGTTCTCTTCTTCTCCATTCTGTCCTCACTTACTTATGTTGCCCTTTCTTCCTCCCTTTATACCCTCCTGGTTCCACAATCCATTTTCTAATCCCGTATGTTCTTCTTTCCTATTTCAGACAATCTAAACTTGGATTCCAGTTTTATTATGAACTCTAGTGATCTCCCCCTTTTATCTCGCTGATGGTACGTTCCACACCTGCTTGTAAATATTGTTATCCCGTCGCTACCCCTTTGTGGAATGTTCCGCCATGTCCTCTTCTGACGATAGCCGCGCCGAGCCACTTCCAGCCATTCTGCAACATCCACATCCTTGCGACCTGTGACCTTCGCTGTGAACAAACGTGATGGCGGTCTTCATGTGGTTTTCTTTTTTTTTTTGTTTTTTTTAAATAAAATGGTAAAAATCCAAAATGGAATGTTGTCTTCATCCAGTGTTGTACATTGCCACGGCACCCTGAAGCAGCACAGACAGTACTGGCAGATGTCACAATGAAGCCGCTGCCAATATCTGTGTGCTGCTACAGGGAAGCGGGCATTGCTGCTGTAGACCGGCAATCCGGGTTCACAAGAATAGGAGATGTTCGGGAGAAACCTTTACATTATAAAAAAGCAACCTGGATATAAATAATTATTTAATCTCGTTATATTTCACCCTCGTCAACATGCTCGTGACATTTTTAAATGAAACCTTTCCATTTTCATTAAATACCTTATTGTAGACCCAGTGATGTCATCACAGGGTCTCCATGCTTCTCTATGCAATGCAGGCAGATCACGCCTGGTGGGAGGGGCCCTGAGCCTTGATGCAAGTGGTAGGCTAGCTCCCAGGAGGAGTTATGCAAATATCAAAATGCCTTGATGGGTGGGTGTCAGTCTGGGGGGAGTGGGCGTTTCTAGGCAGGGTGTATTTGCATGCAGACCACCTTAGGTAATGCCCACATGAGATGCTGAGCCTCCATTATTGAAAGATCTGAATTTTGAGTGAAAGGGGTGGGGCCAGGGACAGTCAGGCTGGGGATCCCTGAGGTTCTTCCTATGCACACTGTATCTGTAGCCATCTGGGGGGCTCCCACCATCCCTGCAAGATATAACTGCTTTTCCTTTGTGCCCGGGTTTGGAAATAACTAATCCCGTACAGGATTCTAACATGAAGGGGAAGCGATCAACCAGCCAACACATGAAAAGTGCTGTGAGCCAAAGCAAGCCGGCTCAGATAAAGCACAGACTAACAGTTACATTGTTCCTCATAACCGGGTGATCCAGTGACAGTAGGGCTGGGCCAGGGGGTAGGCAGATGAGGCCTTGGTCGTTGCAGCGTGGGGGAAATGGGCAGTCAAAAAGGTCAAGGCCTGCCACCTATGCTGCAGAGGTAGTTCACAGCTCATGGGGGAGGCACGCTTGGGCCTTTCGCCTTTGGTGGGAAAGGACCTTGCTGTAGCACTTGAGTGCCGGCACCCTTACTTACCATTTTCTATGTACAGCACATGCCTTTGTGTGGTGTCTGAAAGTATGTACAGAATGAAATGTGCTGAGTGAAAAAGATATATAATGTGTATATGTCCTTTAAGAAATTAACTCTGATTGTTAGATTTTGGTTATTATCTCCTGATTGGTTGCTGAGGCTAAAATATGGACCCATTTTCTTCCTCTAGTTCAGCTTTTCTTAATCAGTGTTCCATTGAGCCCTACAGTTCCTGCACAGGTCGCTAGGGGTTCCTTCAGCAACTTCTGCCTCTCCGATAAGCTGCCACTGACTCCAATGTTCTTTAAAGCTATCTGTAAGGGACATTCTATTCAATGGCCATCAATGTAGGAAGCAATCTTCTGACTGTCCACTAGGGTCCTTCTGTCACTGACCATTGATGTAGGAAGCATTCTTCCCCTTGTCTACTAAGGTCCTTTTTTCACTGACCATCAATGTAAGGAGCATTCTTCCCAATGATCACCAATGTAGGGAACACTCTTCCCAATGACCACTATGGTATCAATGACTAGCAATGTAATGGTTCACTTTAAATGACCACCAATGTAAGGGGCATTCTTCCCAATGGCCACCAATGTAGGATGCATTCTTCTTATTGACCATTAGGGCCCTTCTATCACTGAAAACCAATGTAAGGGGCGTTCTTCCCAATGATCACCAATTTAGAGAACATTCTTCCCACTGAACATTATGGCTCTTCTATCACTGACCATCAATGTAAGGGCTCACTCTGATTGACCACCAATGTAAGGGGCATTCTTTCCAATGACCACCAGTGTTGGGGCATTCTTCCCACTGACCACTAGGGCCCTTCTATCACTGACCATCAATGTAAGGGCTCACTCTGATTGAGCACCAATGTAAGTGGTATTATTCCCAATAACCACCAATGTACGATGCATTCTTCCCCTTGACCACTAGGACCATTCTATCACTGACCATCAATGTAAGGGGTATTCTTTCTAATAACCACCAATGTAAGGGGCATTCTTCCCACCAACTACTAGGGCCCTTCTATCATTGACCATCAATGTAAGGGCTCACTTTGACCACCAACATGAGGGCGCAGTGCAATGTTTACTCGCTGCATTTCTTTCCTGGCCATTACTATTGTTTCATTTCAATACAATTGTTAAAAATATTGTATAGAGCAGCCCTGGGTATCAAAAATCAAGTATGGTGCGTTCCTTATTTATCAAGTATGACGCGTTCCGCATTTCTTTCTTGGATCTACAACTCGCTCTCTATACTATTGTAGCCTGCACTGTAAATATAATTATTATTATCAGGGGCTTCCTGACACCTGAAAGTTATTTCGAGGGTTCCTCCATGCTGATAAGGTTGAGAAATGCTTCTCTAGTTTATAACAATGAGTTTTATGGCATCTTCTCCACACTTATGGATTATAAAGCCTAATTGCAGCTTTCAGCTGGCCGTAGAGTTTGGATTATGCAATTCAAACGTCTTCCCTGGGTGATCATAAACGGTCATAGAGCTGCTAGAGCTTCACAAGCGGTGTAGCAGATTCAAGCACTGCCCATGATGGCTGGGATGCCTAGGGGTTAACTACACAAGGACAATAACTCTATCTGGACATCGGAGTTAACTCTTTGCCTCTACGTTCAATGAGGGGCGACCAATCTGTGCCTCGGCAAAGTCCTGGTGGCCCACCATGCATCACACCAGCCCTTTGCAGACTGTGAACACATCACTGGATTATTTTTGCTGCATTACAGCATTCTCAGCGGAAGAAAAGGAGGAACAACATTTTCCCAGCTTTGTTTACAGAACGGGCACTTTGACAAACTGACAAAGATGCCAAAATTTGTCAACCTGCCAAAATTTGACAAAACATACGGCTTAGTCAGTAAAGCAAGTACTAATGTGTGAAAGCCAAGGCTCCAAACAACCAATCAGAATGCATCTATCCCTAATCTGACTCCGGTAATCTGAAAGTTTATTGCTTGCTGCAAACACAAAAAAAATGACCCCACCCCCACCCACCCACCCATATTTTATTGCTTTAAAGACCTTTTGTTACATTTTATATTAGTGCTCATCCTTTCTTTCCTAACTCCTATAATAATCCCCTCTCAATTTAAAAAATAAAGCTAAGGGGTAACAAACCCAGGGCCCCACCCCAGCTACTGAGGACCTAAGTGTCCCAGAGTGCCAAGTCCATGGAGGGGCTAGCAGGATATGCTGGAGCTTGTTGTCCTTCTCCACTGCTAGAATAGTATCCTTTCCTTCCTAACTCCAACAATAATCCCCTCTCAATGTAAAAAAATAAAGCCACGGGGGTAACAAACCCCAGGCCCCACCCCAGCTACTGAGGACCTAAGAGTCCCAGAAAGCCCAGTCCATGGAGGGGCTAGCAGGATATGCTGCAACTTGTTGTCCTTTCTCTTTGCTAGAAAAGTATCCTTTCTTTCCTAACTCCTATAAGAATCCCCTCTCATTTTAAAAAATAAAGCTACCGGGGTAACTAACCCCAGGCCCCACCCCAGCTACGGAGGACCTAAGAGATCCAGAGTGCAAAGTCCTTGGAGGGGCTAGCAGGATATGCTGGAACTTGTTGTCCTTTCCCTCTGCTAGAATAGTATCCTGTCCTTCATAACTCCCATAATAATCCCCTCTCAATTTAAAAAATAAAGCTAAGGG